CCATTATTTTGCACCCCCTTTTGGGGCTCAGCTCAGGGGTTCCAGGTCCGCAGCTCCTCCCTGTGCTGGCTGGGGGACCCCCCACACCCCCTACCTGTGGTGGGTCCTGCATCACCTGGCACTGCCAGAATTCTTCCCTTTTATTTTTCATTTTGGGTGGGTTTAATGGTTTTTGGGGGGTTTGTGGGGGTCGGAAGTGGGTTTCCTCTGTCACCTGTGGCTCAAAAGTGAGGTGCCCCCGTCTGACACCCCAAAGTCCACAGGGGGCAGGCAGGTCTTGAACCCATGGAGGGTGGACGATGGGTTCCCTGCGCCGTGTTCCTCCTGGGAGGATTTTGGCTCTGGATGGACCCGGCGCGGTCCCTTCGTGTCAGTCACCATGGTGGCCCCGTGTCACCCTGATGCCACCAGGCTCTTCTGGGGGGAAAAAACGGATCCGTGGCCGCTCGGCGGGGAAAAGCACTTTCCAAAATTCCTCCGGCTTGTGGTGGACCTGCCAGTGGGCAGACCCGAGGCTGGGAAGTGTCACGGGCCACACGGAGGAGCGGTGGGGACGTGTGCTGCCACCCCCACGGACACATGCACGTCCCACCCCATGCTTTGGGGCAGCGACACCCTCAGGGGACACAACCCCACAGGCCACTGAGGCTGGGGACATCACCACTGCCACATCCCTTGGGTGCCGTGCTGAGGCTGGAGGTGGTTTGGTGGGGCTGTGCTGTGGCATGGCCACCATGACCACCCACCGTGGCCACCAAAGGCCACCCGCCGTGGCTGCTGTCCATGGTCTGCAGCGCCCCACACTGCTGTCCCTGGTCCTGCCACGGTGGCACCCGTCATGGTGGCACCCATGGCAGTGGCACCCATTGCCTGGCAGCGCGGGGTCTCGGCAGGGACAGGTGTCACGGGCAGGTGACCCGAGGTCCCTTGGTGTGCACGGGGCCACCAGAGCGCAGTGGCCATGGGTGGCTGTTGGTGACCGCAGAGCCTCACGGCCACCATGGTGACAGTGGTGATGATAGTGCTGCCCGCAACCTCCCCTGCGGCCTCCACAGTACCCATCCCTCTGTCCCTGTCCTCCCATCTGCCTGTCCTTTGTTCCATTTGTCCGTCCCCTTCCTTCCATCCATTCGTCCCTCTTCTTCCTTCCATCTGTCCATCCTTCCCTCCATCCCTTGGTCCCTTCCTGCCTTCCTTCCATCCATCCTTCCGTCTGTCCTTACTTCTGTCCGTCCTTCCTTCCCTCCCTCCTTCCATCCGTTCCTCTTTCTGCCCATCCTTCTGTCCATCCCTTTCTTCTGTCCGTCCTTCCCTCCTTTTCCATCCATCCTCCCGTCCATCCCTTTCCTCCTCCTGTGGCATTCTGTCCCTCCTTCCATCCTTCCCTTTATGCCTTTCCTACTTCCATCCATCCTTCTGTCTGTCCTTTCCTACTTCCATCCCTCCCTCCCTCCCTTGGTCTCTCTGCTTCCTTCCATCCCTTTCCTACTTCCTTCTGTCCCATCTGTCCTTCTGTCAGTCCCTCCTGTCCTTTGTCCCTTTCCCACTTCCCTCATTTCCTTCTGTCCATCCATCCCTTCATCCCTCTCCTCCTCCCATCCGTCCTTCTGTCTGTCCCTGCATCCTTACCTCCATCTCTCCCTTCCTTCCAGCCATCCATCCTTCTGTCCTTCCCTTTCCCCTGTCATTCTGTCCGTCCCTCCCTCCCATCATCCCTTCCCTACCTCTGTCCATCCTTCTGTCTGTCCTTCCTTTCATCCATCCTCCCTTTCCCTAGCTCCCCCCGCACTGGGGGCTCCTCCCGCCCCAGCCCCTCCCTCAGCACCCGGGGCAGGATGGCGGCACTGGCCCCCTTCGCCCCAGAGGGGCCCCTCTTTGGCGGGGGAGGGTGAACCATGGGGCCTCCCGCCGTCCTTCCTCCATCCTGCCATCCTCCTCCTCCTCCATATCAGGGGAGGGGGGAGTCACAGCTGCAGTCTTCCTGCTCCGAGCCTCGGAGCAGACATTGGGTGCCAACTTTGGGTGCCGCGGGGTGCCTCCTCTCACTCTTTCTCCCCCACCCCCCGCCCCAGCTCTAGCCTGACCCCCGCCACCTCGCAGCGCCCCGGCAAACCGCCATGGAGAACGAGCAGCTCCCAGCACCTCCGCCCTCCAGCAGCGCCGGCGGCACCGCCACGACGCCCAGCAGCACCGGCACCGCCCGCCCGCCTGCTCCCCAGATCTCCGTCTACAGCGGCATCCCCGACCGCCAAACCGTCCAGGTATGATATTTTGGCACGGGGTGGGGGGCTGGAAGTTGGGGGGCAGCGTTTTGGGGTTGTGGTGCAGCCCGGGGACGTGTTTGCACCCCACAAAAAGGTGATCCAGCAAGCGCTGCACCGGCAGCCCAACACAGCAGCACAGTACCTGCAGCAGATGTACGCGGCGCAGCAGCAGCACCTGATGCTGCAGACGGCCGCGCTCCAGCAGCAGCACCTCACCAGCGCCCAGCTCCAGAGCCTGGCCGCCGTCCAGCAGGTATGGGACACCACCCCAGGGGCACCCATGGGTGCTGCGGTGAGGGACACAGGTGACGCTTGGCTCTTCTCCCCAGGCGAGCCTGGCGGCAAACAGGCAGAGCGGCTCTTCAGGTGGTAACGGCACCCAGCCGGCACCCACACAGCAACCCACGGTGAGTCCCCTGACCTCTCCAGCACCCGTCCCACCGTCGCCTACCCACCAATCTGGCGCGGCACCCTGGCCTTCTCCTTCTGCCCTGTTGCAGATCAACCTGGCGACGTCACCGGCGGCCGCACAGCTCCTGAACCGGGCGCAGAGCGTCACCCCCGGGGCCTCGGGCATCGCGCAGCAGGCTGTGCTGCTGGGCAACGCTGCCTCACCCGCCCTCACTGCCAGCCAGGCCCAGATGTACCTGCGGGCGCAGATGGTAAAGGGGCCACCGTCATGCCTGGCAGTGCCCTGCCCCACGGCGCTGTGGGGTGGCTGGGATCCGTGGGGTGCTCATTGTCCTGCTGTGGGGTGGCCGGGAATTGTGGGGTGCTTGTTGTCCTACTGTGGGGCGGCTAAGACCCTATAGGGTCCCTGACTCTGTAGGGTGCCCATTGCTTTGCTGTGGGATGGCTGGGACTCATAGGGTGCCTGTCATTGTGCACGGGGGTGGCCAGGACCCATGGGGTGCCCGTCACCCAGCTGTGGGGTGCCCGGGACCCATTGGGTGCCTGTCATCCAGCTGTGGGGTGGCCAGGACCCATGGGGTGCCCGTCACCCAGCTGTGGGGTGCCCGGGACCCATTGGGTGCCTGTCATCCAGCTGTGGGGTGGCCAGGACCCATTGGGTGCCTGTCATCCAGCTGTGGGGTGGCTGGGCCCCGTGGGGTGCCCATCGTCCCACCATGGGGTGGCTGGGCCCCGTGGGGTGCCCGTTGTCCCACTGTGACGTTGCCAGGAGCTGGGGGGTGCCCTTTGCCTTAGGGGGGGAGTTGGGACCCTATAGGGTGTCCTCTGCCATGCTGGGGGTGCCCACACCCTATAGAGTGCCTGTCCCCTGCGCCCCTCCTGGTGCTGGGGTGCACCCAAGGGACGGGGAGGGCACCGCCACGCCGGAGGGCCCTGGGGACACGTGTGTCACTCCACCCACCATCCTACCTGTGTGCCACCCCACAGGGACGTGGGGGACACACATGGGGTGCCACCCTCTCCCCTCTGCCACATCGGGGGCCATGCACCCATTCTCTGTCTCCCCCACAGCTCATCTTTACGCCTACGGGCCCCGTCAGCGCCGTCCGGCCCGAGAGCCCCGCACCGGCACCACCGCCAGCACCACC